ACAAAATCCAAACCTGCATTACCCTGTGTGAAAAAGTAATTGCCCCCTGAAACTAATAACTAGTTGGGCCTCCCTTAGCAGCAATAACTGAAATCAAGCGTTTGCGATAACTTGCTGTGAGTCTTTTACAACGCTCTGGAGGAATTTTGGCCCACTCATCTTTGCAGAATTGTTGTAATACAGCTTTGGGGGTTTTCTAGAATGAACCGCCTTTTTTAAGGTCATGCCATAGCATCTCAATAGGATTCAGGTCAGGACTTTGACTGGGCCACTCCAAAGTCTTCATTTTGTTGTTCTTCAGCCATTCAGAGGTGGATTTGCTGGTGTGTTTTGGGTCATTGTCCTGCTGCAGCACCCAAGATCGCTTCAGCTTTAGTTGACGAACAGATGGCCGGACGTTCTCCTTCAGGATGTTTTGGTAGACAGTAGAATTCATGGTTCAGTTTATCACAGCAAGCCTTCCAGCTCCTGAAGCAGTAAAACAATCCCAGACCATCACACTACCACCACCATATTTTACTGTTGGTATGATTTTGTCTGAAATGCTGTTACTTCTACTCCAGATGTAACGGGACATTTGCCTTCCAAACAGTTCAACTTTTGTCTCATCAGTCCAGAAGGTATTTCCCCAAAAGTCTTGGCAATCATTGAGATGTTTCTTAGCAAAACTGAGATGAGCCCTAATGTTCTTTTGGTTTGCGTCTTGGAAATCTGCCATGCAGGCCATTTTTGCCCAGTCTCTTTCTTATGGTGGAGTCGTGGACACTGACCTTAATTGAGGCAAGTGAGGCCTGCAGTTCTTTAGAAGTTGTCCTGGGGTCTTTTGTGACCTCTCGGATGAGTTGTCTCTGAGCTCTTGGGGTAATTTTGGTCGGCCGCCCACTCCTGGGAAGGTTCACCGCTGTTCCATGTTGTTGCCATTTGTGGATAATGGCTCTCACTGTGGTTCGCTGGAGTCCCAAAGCTTTAGAAATGGCTTTATAACCTTTACCAGACTGATAGATCTCAATTACTTTTGTTCTCATTTGTTCTTGAATTTCTTTGGATCTTGGCGTGATGTCTAGCTTTTGAGGTGCTTTTGGACTACTTCTCTGTGTCAGGCAGCTCATATTTAAGTGATTTGTTGATTGAAACAGGTGTGGCAGTAATCAGGCTTGGGGGTGGCTACAGAAATTGAACTCTGATGTGAAATACCACAGTTGGGTTATTTTTTAACAAGGGGGGCAATTACTTTTTCACACAGGGCAATGTAGGTTTGGGTTTTGTTCTCTCCCTAAATAATTAAAACCATCATTTCAAAACTGCATTTTGTGTTTACTTGTGTTATCTTTGACTTATGGTTAAATGTGTTTGATGATCAGAAACATTTTGTGTGACAAACACGCAAAAGAATAAGAAATCAGGAAGGGGGCAAAGAGTTTTTCACACCACTGTATATCTCTCTGACCTGTGTGTCTTTATTTCCTGGGGTGTAACTCCCCAGGTGGCATTGTGTGTTACTGGCAACTACAGCAACCCTGGATGGCACACTGACATATTCTTTTCTTCTGTTTATCAATTATGTTTTTGAACAAGATCAATTGCAGCAGAACAAATACTTCTAAAACGTATAGAATGTCATTTAAAGAACACTTAACATGCGAAACAAATAAAACTAGAACTGCAAGCAGTTATCAACGGGTTCCAAGCCACCAGCGCCAGTCGCCCACCCGCCCCGCCCTCAACTTCGCCAGTCCTCACGCGGTCCCGCCCCAAAAACACGTTCTCCCGCCGGCGTCCCGTCAGCTCACTTCAACCGGCGCAACGAAAGTAACACTCAGGATACGTCATTAAACCTGCAAAGCCTATACACATATCTTTCAGAGGCATGGCTGACTTCTCAACCGTGATTACAATGGAATTCCACTGTTTCCTTATTAAAGAACGTGAAGATTTAATGAGTGAGATTATCAAACAATGATCTATACATCAACAGAATATTACAAATAACATAAATACTTGATAATGTCTTTAGATTTAAAAGATTTTCAACAAAAACTACGAGTTTCATTTTGTGACTTACTGACCAAATGTTTTAAAAAATCATGAAAAATACATAAATCATCCTAAAATTACCAAAATATTCTCACATGGCAGTGTTAACATGCGGAATAATATGATGTTGTTTTTAAATCAGTAGACTCAAAGCTTTTTTGAAGAAAAATTGGGAAATATAACTATAAAGGTCACAACAAAAATTCAAATATTAATAAAAAAATAGTGCTACTTTCTAAAATTAGGAGAAAAATCTCAGATCACCATAGGTACATGTGGAATGTTGTAAATGGCTTATATTTACTGTATACCTAAAAAAAACTTTCTAACAAAAATTAATTACGTTGTTGTCCAACTATACAGAAAAACTGGTAAAAAGTTAAAAATTCATTAAAAATCTATGCTTTTGTACAGAAATCTCAAAATATTCCCAGGTTGCCTCTGTGATGTGAGAATTCTTCTTATATTTTTGTTGGGGTCATAAATGTAAAACTGTACTTACAATAAAATAATATTTGCATTAGTGGCTGTAGACAAAAATATGTCCTACAATTAAACACAAGGGGGAGCTCAAATCAATACGACATTTTTTTTCTTTCATAAACCACCTAAGAGTGAACTTTGTGGCAAATTACAAGAAGATTGTGAGAACAGAATTTGCGCTACAATTGCTAGCCTAAAAATGTATTTTCGTAAATACAAAGCGCAAACCTCTTCATGGAGCTGCGGCTTTTGTGACATAAGCTCTAGCCAATCCAGTTGACACAATCTGGAAATCTTAGCCTCTTACATGCAAATTGTGATTTTTAGGGAATTTTTCAAATTTGAAATTTTAAATGATCATAAACCACGCCCACTTTGATCAATCATTACCATATTGATAATGTAGTCTTAAGACTCTATAGTGATGACAACCACTAAGTTTCGTGCAGATCCATTTAGCTGGTTCAGCAATATAATTTCTTCCCAGTTATAGCGCCCCCTATTGTTTAATCAAGGTGAAAACCAGGACATACACTTGAATTGACCTTAGGTATGATTGTTATGAACAGCTTTGAAAAATGTCAAAGTCTTTTGAAGTTACGCTAAAAAAACTTTTTCATTCCCAAAAAATTATTTTAAAAAATCATATTAAAAAAAATAAGCAAATTATCCAAAATCCCTTCACATCTTTTGGTCAGCCGCTCCTCCTCTCTTGTCAGGGAAAGTTGTGATGTGATTGAGTTTGACGGCCGGGAGGAGTTAACGAAAGTACGTTGGACTTACTATGCAAATTTCTACTAATTTGCATAAGTTTAAAACAGTTTTTAAAATACTCATCTAAATTTGACTGACTCAATGAACACACTGGATGAGATCATTTGTTTTTTTACGAAAGAAATGGGGAGAACCATGCCAAAAATATTTTTGGGGTACCACAGCGCCACCTATTGGACAAAATTCAAAAAAATTTCTGTGATTGTAGATGTCACTATGACTGATATGAATTGTAATTTTCTGTATAGAATATGTATTTTTCATGAGTAAAAGGGCGTAAATTTTTAAAGCCTATAAGCCACGCCCACTTTTTAATCATTTTCAAAATATAGCTTAAGGGTCCGATGATTAACATATATGCCAAGTTCTGTGGAAATCCATCAAGCCGTTTAGCTGAAACAAACTTTTTGACTCTTTAGCGCCCCCTATTGGTGAATCCAAACAAAATTGGGTAGGTAGGGCTTACCGCTCATACTTCATAAGGGTCTAGAGTCTCATCAATTTATCTTGAGAAATGGTCAAGATATCATCAATTACCACATGTGCTAGCTAGCGCACTGATTTTGACATGGTGTCATTAGCCCAATTTTCAATATTTCTGCATTTTTCTTCACCACAACAACTTACCTTAGTCCATAGATCACATGTACGAAGTTTGAAGTTGATTCGACGAAAAATAACGAATAGGTGATTAAAAGTAAGTTTTGCGTTTTTTGCGATCTAGCAAAAAATCTAGTTAGGCGGAAATGGGCGTGGCCAATACAAACTACGTGCAGAATTATCCAAGGATCATGTACATATAAAGTTTTTGACTGTAGGACCTATGGTTTGGGAGCTAGTAGCTGAAACGTGTTGACCTCCGCAATAGCGCCACCTAGGTGACGCGGGGTCCAAATTTTCGAATCTGAGTAGCGGTCAGGATTTTCTATCAGACTGCCATGTCAGATTTTCCCTGGCAATTTCAGGCTCTTGCGCCCATATAGTTTTAGCGGAGAAGAATAATGAATAATAAATAATAATGAAAAATCCGTAGAAAAACAATAGGGTTCCCTGCCCTTTGGGCTTGGAACCCTAAAAATTACTAAACCTTTCAAATATTTGTTGTGTTCTGATTCTTTTTCTAAACAAGGCAAAAAAAACGATGTTGACCCTTTTCCTTTACAAATACTACTTAATCCTCGCGTTCCACTTTCATCCAAAGCTGACACAGCTTGACAAATTATGATTCATGCACAGTTGCAGTTGGCCTAAACTTATATCATATCAACTGTATTTTGCTGTGCATTACTGCATCTGGGTGTTCGTTAAGAATAACACCTCCCAGCCGGGTGTTATTTTTTTTACCAGGGCACAGCAAATGCTGAAGAATGACTGATGGCCATCACCTGGGAAATTAAATATGGGTTCCGTGTATGCCCTGTAATGCCCTCTCGTACCACAAGGCGCACATGTACCCCTAGTTGGAAATCACTGATGTACAAGGTACGTTTTTTATAGCATTATACAGAGATGTGTCTGTGATTGAGGATCTACTGAATACAATTTTATTATTTTCTTTTTTGTTCGAGAAAGACTTTTACAGTACATCACACTGTAATAATTCAGAATTGTAGATTATTAGATTAACTGGACTATGTAACGGAGTGAAATGACTGTTTTCCACCTAAAAGCCATCCCCCCCCCCTCCCCTCTGACACAGAACTAATCTGCATGAGACTGCCTCAAGGTCATGCATTTGCTCTAAACTGTTTTTCTTTCCAGCTCAAGAGAAGAATGAAGAAAAGGACTCTCTCTCTTTAATAAATCAAAGAACTCTATTTTTAATAAGCTAATCAAACAAAGTGTTAGTCAATAATAAGATGTGACCAATCTGTGAAAATGAAAATATTACTTTATTATAATCCTATAGATTATCCAGAGGACGGAGGCCGACCTCTTCTCCCCCAGCTCTGCTCTGTCTCTTCCTGTCGTATGCCCCAACTTCTGTCCCAGCTCTGCTCAGGGCTGCTCTTTTATACCCTCCCTGGGCCAGCTTAGACAAGGTAAAAGTCACATATATCATTATCTCATGACAGTAAGGTCATGGGGTCATTTACCAGATACACACTTTTTAGCTCAACACAAGACATTTGGTATCATTTTCACTACATGCAGCATTCTACATGAGGGCACAGATCACTACATGCAGCATTCTACATGAGGGCACAGGTCATAAATCATCTGTGTAGCAAAGCGTCAGTTTCCCTTCAGCATTCCTGAGAGGACTTCTGGATCCGATGGGCTGTCTTCACTCTGTTCCAGTCCTTCTTTTCCCGCTCCTGCCAGAGGTTGGGTCAGCCTCCTGACCTTTTGCCCAGTTCTGTCCTCTTGTCCCTGTGACCCTTCTGTGACCCTCAGCTTGGATGCTTGTTTGTGCAGCTGGGCTCCTGTCTTCTGGCTGATTTTACTCGCATAAGCCAGTCCAGTGTGTTTCAGCTTGCCACTGTCTTTGGCATGTGGGGACTGGCAACACAGAAACACACATTTTTATAAAACCTTCTTTATTAAACATTTACACAAAAGCATAAAAAATATTTTACATAATATCTGACATAATAAAAGACTAAAGCAGCTACAAGTAATGATAACACATTTGTGTCCTTATTAGCTTATCACAGTTTTGTGAGCTGGTGCTGGCTACTGGGATAAATGATACGTGTGGTCATTCAAGTGTGAGCTGTTCTCTGGATAGGGCAGGAGTTTCCAGATTCTGATGGGCGCTACACAGGTTTCCGGCATAATGGTGAGTTTTGACCAATTCTCGACCACACGTGCAGTGATGATGTCACCTTTTGATGCCCTGTGGGCACTAACCCAGCCCCACCCCAGCAGAATATCTATGCCCATCCCTGCATTTTCACAACTTCCAGGATATATAAGACATGGGACATCCAGGTAAGGTTGGGTCCTCCCCCTCCTGGACCTCCCCCTCCCCTGTGATGGAACGGCAGATGAGCCCATGTCTACCTGAGGCCCCTGAACCCGGGTCAGGCACTGCTGCATGTTCCTGCCTTCTTCCCGGCAGCATACCTGCCAGGACCCGATACCACATGAGGATGTAGCCTCTGGAAGTGGTCTGTTTTTCTATCTACAGGTCACCTCTTCAGTATTGGGTCATTTGGAGACATAAGTCTTAACTGGTGCTTTAATCTGCAAGAAACTGTTGCTTCAAGGTCCCTCCAAGCTCATTCTTATCTAAGACTGGTTTTTATTCACAGCACAAGACGGATGAACTTTCTAAATTAAATCATATAATAAACAATAATGGTGGAAGGATAATAACAATGTTTTGATTAATCTGTGCTTAAATTACTGTGGTTGAAATGAATATTAATATGTTATGATCAGTAATTTTAGATTTAACAAGTGAATCACTATCTTTGACAGCTCACACACTCAGACACATAACGATGACAAGGTTAAGCTAATATCCTGACAATGTTTTCTGTTCCACCAATCAGAACTCCTGTATCTGACGCAAGGCGTGTTTTCTGAGGTTTGTTGGTAAAAACCCTTCTACATGTCAAATTCTGATTTGTTGGTGAATCAAAATATGACGGTTATTAAAACAGGACTTACTTCACTGTGAGTTAGTTCTAGTTCTTGTGAGTTCTTGAGAAAGTTTCGGACCGGCCATCTGAAGCAAAACCTCTTTAACCCAGAGCACCTTTTGACGAGCTGTCAAAAACCTGTTGCACACTACAGCTGACTGCAAACGGATCCTTCAGAACAAAGCTGAACCAACTTCAACTCCTTAAGGGTAATTCCTAAGTCGCAAATAACAACTGTCATGACCTGAAGACAACTCGAGACTAGTCTAGTCAGCACGGCGGTTGCTTCTATGGACCTCGGTACCTCTGGGGTCCCCGGACCTCAACATTCCGGATATAAAATGGGGCTCTTCGATCAGGGTAAGTAGACTCGACAGATTGCGTCTAATGTGTTTTTGATAAGAACCAACTTTGTTAGTTTATAGCAGACCAAATTCACTCCCACTCAGAACTCAGTTTCTTCAGATACGAGGGTTCTGATAACATCACATTCACACGTCCTCACCTCACATTCCATCCACTTAAATCCATTCATCACGTAAAGTGTCTGAGTTGTCATGTTTAAATTGTTTAGAAAATAAATGTCTTGCTTTTTATAAACTTGCCTCTCTTCTTGAATTAATACGAAGTGTCTTACAATCCCTGAATAAACAAATAATTCTAAACCTTCTGGTTAAACATTCAAAGACCAATCAGACTGGATTTCCATATTTATATGGAAATTCACATCATATTGGTCAAGGTGTAGGGTAGTATATCAAGCTTTAAAAGCACCCAAATCCACACATAATTACCCCGTTACAAGGATATATAACAGTAACAATTTTTGCTGAAAATCACAGTAATAATTCTTTGTGCATTTAGTGCCAACCACAGCCTTAGATCATGCTTCAAAAATGCCATACTTAGATGAGCACCTGTGTGCATACACACACCTGTGTAAGTAAGGTTTCTCTATAGGAGTGTTCAATAGTGACAATGAGGATGCTTATTTAACTTCTGAAGTGTGCCAAATTCAGGAACTTGTATCAACAGCTCCAGAATGTCGGTATTTACCTGACTCAGGACCAGGGATCTCCATCACCCTGTTGGACCCATTTTTGAAGTCAAAGGTATTTTGTAAGCCATTTAACTTCAAGTCGATGTTTTCCTTGAGTGGCGTGATGGAAACATCTCTATCCTGCTTCTTGTCCAGATCCTGATTTGCAGGCTGACACACCGTGACACCGTATCGCCCCCTCTTCCTCCTCTTCTTCAGACTGAGGGAGCCCTTATGTTTCCTGTCAGATATTGAGTCCACTTTTGAATGCTTTGTATATCCAGACACGTTTTGGCTTTTCAATTTGTTTTTGCATCCATTTTTAACTGTACCGTTCAGAGTTGGCATACTGTTCAACCATTTTTGATATAAATACTGTTTAACTGTGTAGTTTCCTGTGAAACCAGATTGTGTGGGTTTCTTCGTCGATGAGTCCAGTTTAAAAGACAGAATCTCTGGTGGTTCAAGTTTTGTAGAACTACTTATTAAAGTTTTGTTTCTAGAAAAAACACTATTTCTTCTTGTTTTTGAGCCAAACAATGCCAACCTCATGGTTTTTATTTCTGAGGCTTCAGGCTGAGGTTCAGGGACATCCAACAGGAGCGGACTAGTTGGAAGTTTGGGTTTCTTTGGTGTACTTAGGCCTGGGAAAAACTTGTCAAGTCTGCTCTGTCTCTTCTGTCCTACTTCATTTGTTTTTTCTCTGACTTTTTCACGAAGGCTGAAAGATGCTGGATTGGTAATCTGAGTTTGTCTTTCGTTTTCTAAACATGACTCTGCCTCCTCTGCTGTTTTGTATACAGTTCTCTTCTTGGTCTGACATGGGAAGTTCCTTGTGTTCAGGTGTGGCAATACGGACTGAGGAGGCAGTTGGAAGTTTGCTTTTCTTTGTGTACTTAGGTCTGGTAAAAACGGGTCAAGACTGCTCTGTCTTTCTTCATTTGTTTTTTTTCTGACATGAAGGCTTGACGATGTTGGACTGGTAATCTGAGTTTGTCCTTCGTTTTCTAAACATGACTCTGCCTCCTCAGAAGCTTGTTCACAGTTCTCTACATGGTCTAACATCTGTAGATCATCTTCAGTTTCACTGATGGGAAGTTCTTTATGTTCACTCTGTGTGGCAATACTGACTGGTTTCTTTGGTGTACTTAGGTCTGGGGAAAATGGGTCAAGACTGCTCTGTTGTTTCTGTCTTTCTTCATTTGTTTTTTCTCTGACATGAAGGCTTGACAATGTTGGATTGGTAATCTGAGTTTGTCCTTCGTTTTCTAAACATGACTCTGCCTCCTCTGCTTGTTCACAGTTTTCTTCATGTTCGGACATCTGTAGAATATCTTCAGTTTCACTGCTGTGAAGTTCCATGGGTTCATTCTGTGTGGAACTACTGGCTGAAGAAGCAGACTGAGTGGCTTCTGTGGATTTGACCTCTCCTTTTAAAGTCTCATCTTCTGATTGGGTTATGGCAATTGCAAGGTTTACATTCTCACTAACACTTTCAGGTTCTTCAGGGATAAAATCTGTATTCTCTACATCACTCGAGCTGACAATGTTCAACCAACTGTTGTCAGTCATCTCTGATGCTTGATCAGAATTTGAGTAGAGGTCTTCATCCACATTAGTCAGGTCAATGATTTTATCGATTTTAAAGCAGTGCTCTGGGGAACTTAGTGTTATAGGTTCATTGTCTGTGTTTTCTGAAGAGTTCTCTAGATCAGGTTTGACAACACTTTCATTGCAACTCTGTTTTTCTTTGCACGTGCATCTAAGAGATGATGAAGCAACTGGTGAATGCATTTCTATGAACTTTGCAAAGCAGCAAATGACTTGAATTTGCTCCGGTTTGTTCTTCATGTTTGATTCTGCTGCACCATCTAAGTCGTTGGATATCTTTGGTTGCAATGAACCCCTCACTTTCATCACATCCTCAAAATCAAGGTTTTGATTAACCAGATTTTGAACTTTTTCATAGATCGCTCTGGCTTCTTCTGGAGGCAAAACATCCAACTTAAATGAGTACTTTGAGTCAGACGTATCTTCTGATGAGGGGGATGCAACAGGAGAGGCTTCTTCGTCATCATCAGTTAGATCAACCGATTCAGACGCTAGCTGTGATGAAACATTGTTCTGCACCTCAGGTGCAAGTAGTTCAGAATTTTTATCAGTTGTATTTATCTGGCTGCAAGTCTCATGCACATAATGATGCTGCATCAAAGTCCAAGGGAAGCCAAATTCTTTGTCAATGTCATCCAACTGATCGTTGACATTCAACCACAACGATTTATACAGCTGCTCTGAATACACCTCATCATTTTTAAGCACGTGGTATTGTTTGAGGTTCTCCTTATAAGCAGGATGAATTTGTGATAGTATGACACAGTGTTTTGGGATACGTTTACATACAAAAGCAACATAAGTAATATGCTTTGATTCCATCAACTCCTTGTAGCACTTATGGCATGTTTCAATGTCTGAATTCCAAAATGTGTTTAGTATTTGGTCTATGACTGAATGCTTTGGATCTTCTCTTGGCTTGACTTGAGCTTTTTCCGTTTCTAACAATAAATTATCTAGAGAATCCATTGTCCAGGTTACAGTTGGGATGGAAGAAAGTTCTAAGACAGGTGGTGATGGAGGTGTAGGTACTTCATTTTGTTCCTCAGGACGGGTTTGACTCGGTAGTATATCTGAACATTTCAGTGTAGGTGGTCCAAGACCGTCCTGCTCAGAACCTTGAGAGGAGCTAGGACTTTCAGAGACTGAGATTGTTACAACAGCACCATCACTGGCCGCTGTGTTGTTGACTGTCACTGGATTTGGATCTTCTTGGTCCACATTAGACTCCTCTACAAATGCAACCTCTTTTTCCACTTCAGGTATAATGTCTGTGATATTTTTAGGATTACAAGTTGGAGTGTAAGAGGAGGCATGCCCATCCTCCTGTGACAATGGTGGCACAACAGCAACAGCCCTGGTAACAGAATGAGCTGGCATTGGCCGAGCAGAGTCTTCTGCAGGTCTGACAGTTGGAGAATATCCTAATATATTAATTAGATATGGATGCTGTTTCAAGAATGCATCAACCTTATTTATCCTCACTGAGCTTTTCTCTGATGGACCCTCATTTTGGAATCCTGCTGGACAACGTTTCGAGACCATATTATTGCCAGGGAGTGAAACATCGACTGGCTTCTCTCGCTCTTTCACCCCTGCTGCTGTGTTCATGGTGAAACCCACCGGTAAAGCATTTTGCTGAAGAGGATTTACAGTGAGCGGCCCTCTTGGCATTGCACCTTGAGGTAAAGTTTGCACAGAATGGAGTGATAGAGGTTGGGTAGCACTCAAGTTACAACTTCGAGAGCCAGCCGAGGTCACAGGTTGCATAGTTTGATTGGATTGTCTGGATGTATTACTGAAACAATGGCTTTCATAAGAAGGTGGAAGCTGCTGTTGTGCCTTATAATCTATGGGATGTTTGATGGATTTTTTTGGAGAAGGGTTCTGAGTATACTGATTGTTTACATTTGTATTTCTGGAGTTGGTGGGACCTTCAAGGTTGTAAAAGGATGAGTTTGGTTGAGTTCTTGCTTGTTGAGAATTCTCACTTGTGTTGGGAAAGTTCTGAACCAGTGTAATCGATGAGGATTGTAGTGCAGAGTTGTAATGAGCCACTTGATATGTTTGGACATTTTCAGAGGCTGCAGACGTCAATGAGCCTGGCTTGACCATCTGTTGGTAGGGAAGTGAAGGAGCTGATGTTGCATATGGGGTAACATATCCGTTTGATGGTTGATGGTAACTATGGGAAGACTGGTTTTGCTGGAGATGAGATGCATCCTGAATCCTTGATGTGGACGCCTCATTCACTGCAGCTGTTTGATTCCAGTGGTGGAATGTAGTAGTTGGGCTGGAATAACTTGCTAAACTCTGATTAGCATAATTTGAATTAGAATATTGCAGAGTTTGAATCTGAGGTCCACTCGTTGGTGATGGAAAAGAGTTAGAAGTGTTTGTCGGATTACCAGAAAGCATTCTGTTACAACCCTTCAAATTATTATTCCAAAGGTTAGTTTCCAGATGAAGGCCTTCAGTGCACTGCTGATTCGGCATTTGTCCGTTAGCAGAAACTCCATTGAGAAAGGAAATATTTGCGCTCTGTGATTGTTGGACCCCTGAGTTTGCATTAATGTACTGATGCATGGTGTTTTCAGACCAAGAACTTGATGCATTATGGGAGGAATGAGAAGCTGGTTGTGGGAGGGATCCAGTATACTGAAGTTGCCCGTTTCTCTGTTCTAAAGAATGCATCTGTGTCCCACGCTAATCCTTGTGAGAAGTCAGGGAGAAGTTCCTAAAGGAGGAGAATAAACACAAGTTAAAAATGTTGGTGTTAGGGATTTTGTATTCATTTATCTCACAATAAGAGGGTTTGTGTTCAGTTCATGTAATCTACTAAAAGAACTGTTGAGAACGTATTAGGAAACAACTGTCACTAAACCACTTGTTGTCTTAACCTAGCATTTGACGCCATGATAACATATTGTAGACTAAGACGGGTCATTCTGCTACAGTCAAAAAGATTAAGGTCAATGGTTTGATACTGTTGTCGCCAAAAAGGTCAAGAGGTCATCTACAACGTATATTGAGCTGAATTGTGAGTCCTTAGGTTAACAGCTTACTGAGATTGAAGGTGCCAAAAGCTGTTTCAGTGTGCATGCAGTTTAACATGCTGTTTTTCAGTCCAGCTTATGTAAACCAGCTCCAGTAAACCTTGAGCTCTCGGATCATATCGGGTAAATAGAGATAACAGGGCTCGTCGACCTCTGGGCTGGAGGGTGCGTCGACCATATTGGGAAGTGAAAAACATCACCCCATCCTTGGTCCAAAGTCAAAGGACTGTGGGAGTAATGCCAGGGACAAAAATTATAAATTTAGGACTCCACATTTGGTCGAGGTCTTTTGTTTTTTGGCTGTCCTGAAAGCTGTGAGCAGATTAATAAAAAGACCATGCTGTCTAGGCTGAGAACTCCGTCTCCGACTCCTTCTTTAAGAATAACAGAAGATGCCCACAATACACTATCTAGTCACAACATGATGCATAACCTGCAACACCTGACTTGTTCTGTGTGTAATAAAACATGCTGCACGGGGGAGAGGAGTTGGAGTTGAGCAGAGACTAGGGTTGTCACGGTATGAAAATTTAACCTCACGGTTATTGTGACCAAAATTATCACGGTTTTCGGTATTATCGCGGTATTTTTTAAACGGTGTTGCATATGTTCAGAAAGCATTGATAGTCCTGTTCTACACAAACTGAAATAGTTTTGAAAAGGTTTAACAGTGTTTATTAAACCTAAAATAACACAAAGCCTTAACAAAAGTGCAACTTTTCACAAGGAACAAATAGTTTCTTTTTCTGGAACATGTTACAGTAGTGCAGGTTTAAATTATACAAATCCAAACATTCAAAACATAAACAATATGTAAACAAATCAAAGAAACACCACTTGTTTTCTTCATTATCAAAATGAAAATCTAAAACTCCAGTCCACACTTGACTTGAGCACTGTACAAGTCAACCTTAAAAAATATGTATTTAAAACAAATAGCCACTTTAAACAAATTACTAAAATAACTACTACACTATGTAATCAAATCCAAATGTTCAAGTATAAATGGCATTGAAAAAGTAAACAAATCAATGACAAGGAACTAATTGTATATTTCCTTCATCAACAAGTAAGATGCTTCATCCAGCAACCAGCATCATGACTGTATGCATGACCATTTACTTCAGGTTGAAATGCAAAAATGTCAACATATTAACCTTTTCTGGTTTAAGATGTGATCTAAGAGAGGAAAGAATGTGCCCGCTGGCACTGAATATTCTCTCTGATGGAACACTAGTTGCTGGGATACACAAAAGCTTTTTTGCCAGCCTGGCAAGATGAGGCAGCTCTGATGCATGGCCCCTCCACCACACCAGTGGATCATCATCAGCTGGAATGGATGGCAGAGACATGTAGACTTTGACTTCCTCCTTCACTTTATCTTCTGGGGTGGCTGAGCCTGAACCCTCTTCAGATCGCTGCTGCCTTGTTGAGGTAATCTTTTTTAGTAACCCAGCAAGGCCTTTCCCTCCTGCTGCTGCTGTAGAGTTACTGCTGGTGCTTTGTGGTTCCTGCCTGACTTGTACAGGGGTCAGCTTCAAGGCCTCCTGAACACAGCGGTCAACTACATCATCCACAGGGGCATCTAAGAAGTTATTCTTGAACCTGGGGTCAATGAAACAAGCCATCTGCATGACATATTTTGCTTTCTCTGTGTACTGGTTGTTTAGGTCTTCTCTCATTGCCTGTTTCATCTGCTTGGTCAGGGCTGGTTCCTCTTCATTTTCCTCCAGGACATCACCAGTGATGTGGTCAAGAACTGGCTTAATGGCTGATAAAGTCACTCGTGTCTCTGAGCAAAGTGCATCTGTAAACTTGCTTAGTGGTTCAAGGAGCTGGCAGACTTGCTCCATGACAATTATGTCAGTGTCCTTGGGCATCAGATGCAAAGCTCCTCTTTCTGCAGCCAGTGTAGCACAGACTGCCTGCTGCTGGCTGATAAACCGCTCAAGCATCTTGTATGTCGATCCCCATCGGGTCACAACGTCATGGATGAGAGCCAGCGGTGGCAAGGTGAGGGCAGCTTGCTTTTCTCTCAGTCCTCTCTTTCTCTTCCAGCTCCGTGAGAAGCCTTGGACAAGATGACGACAGGTCCTTACTGCTGTTTCAACTCTCTGTATTTTCAGAGCCTTTGAAATGGCCAGGTTCAAATTGTGACAGAAGCATCCAAGCCACACATCTGGAAACTCTTCAAAGGCTTTGGTCATGTTGGCTGCATTATCTGTGGTTATGGAGACCAGATCTGTCTTGTTTATCTCCCACTCCTCCAACATATTTTCAAAAAACTGCAATATTTTGAGCAGAGTGAACTTCTGGAAAAAACTGAGTTTCTAAGCAGTGTGATTCCAGTTGCCAGTCTGGGGTGAGATAATGAACTGTAAAGCTGATGTATGGTAGACCACCCCCTCTTTCACTGGTCCAGAAGTCAGTAGTGGCAGCAAAGAATTCACCCTGAGCCAAACTCTTCTTAACATCAGCTTTGACTGCGTTGTACATTTTTGGGATTTCAGTCTTAGAAAAATAATTGCGTGTAGGCACTTTGTAATGAGGTACGGCAACCTTCATCATCCTCAGAAAGCCAGGTCTCTCGACTGTCCGGAAAGGCATCATGTCTTTTGCTATTAAATAGGTGATGGTTGCAGTCAGTTCTTGAGCCTTTTGGGATGCAGGCACATAATCGGTCTGTTTTTGGAATGCTTGCTCAAGTGTCTGTGTCACTGATGATCCAGTAGCGGTACTCCGTTGCCTCGCTGTCTGTCCCACTGCTCCTCTCTGTAAACAAAAATAAAATATATTAAAAAAATATCCATGTCAATGTTTTGAATCATTATAATTATTCAACTATTCATATCAATATACATACGATGTGTTTGCCTATACCTTTTTTTTTTTGCTAACTCCAAAGAAAAGGATTGGCAAAAAATGTATTATCTCACAGGGAATTTTAAAGGAAGTTCAAGGCATATTTCCCATTAATTCCAATATTTCATTATAACTATGCGTTGTTGATCACTTCAAGGGTATTAAATGTACTAATTATAGTGCCAGAAATGTGTTACAGTTTCAGACAACTACAAAAAAAACTATATCAGGAAAATATTATTGTCCTCGGTTTGTGTCCTTCAAGTTGATATGATATATCATATCATTGCAGATTAGGGTAAATGTCATCAAGCAGTAACCATTATTAAATTCATAATAATAGGGTGAGCAGTGGCGACCAACTCATCTGCGCCATGGGAGCCATAATGCATAACATCATTTTAATATGGGGGTGTCCGTGACACGGTTTAAATGCTGGCAGAGGACGCTGCGGCTGCAGTCTATAGTGACTCGTTGCATTCTCCCTCAGCCAAAAGTCCTCACGTCATGCATTTAAGCTAAAATGCTAATGTTGACTTACCTTGCACTGGCTGTAGAGACGTGGGTGATTGTCACGCAGATGTGCCATTAGATTAGAAGTGTTGCTGCCTTTTGCAGACACTTTTTTCCTGCACGTTCTGCAAACGGGATAGCCGTCTTCTATTAACTGTCCCTCGGCATTCTTCAGAAATCCAAAATACGCCCATACTTCCGATTTAGTTTTCTTTGAGGGCTGATGGATTTCCCGGGCGCTGCGGTCTCCTCCTTCGGCCATTATTTCAGCTTCCGTGCAAACTAAAAAGTGCGTGTGCGGCGAGCGGGATCTTCAACAGAAGCGACGGTGGCTGGTAAGGGTCACCGCGCCTAAACCGCGGCCACGGTAAACCCACCGAGATAATTTAGTTTTTTAAAAACTGGACGGTTATTTTTATTGTCAACTTTTTTACCGGGGTTTACCGCTATACCGGTTACCGTGACAACCCTAGCAGAGACACAGGTGTACTCTGTTACACTTCCCTAAAAAAACTCTCTCTCCCCTTTGCAAAGCTGAACAAAGACAGCCACTCGTGTACAGTGTGATTGTTTCATTAGGTTTAACCCTAAAAGTTAAAGAAAACAACAGGTTTTCAGGATAAAAGTAACATGACCTAAGCCACGATAATGTTGCAATGCAACTTTTGAATCAGCCCTCCAACCACAATCCACAGTAGAGCAAAAAGTTTTCTTTCCACTTCCTACTTTTTGAGGAAATCATTTTATTTTATTCTTCCCAGATTTTCTCTAATAAAACAAAATGTGACAAAATACTGGGGCCTGGGGATGGACTGTCCGATCTCGGGGGCAGAAGTTGCTGAGGTAGTCAAAAAACTACACAGCGGCGGAGCCCCGGGGGCGGATGAGGTTCGTCCTGGGTATCTCAAGTCTATGGATGTTGTAGGGCTGTCATGGTTGACACGTCTGTACAACATTGCGTGGTCATCGGGGGCAGTTCCTAGGGAGTGGCAGACCGGGGTGGTGGTCCCCATCTTTAAGAAGGGTGACCTGAGGGTGTGTTCCAACTATAGGGGGATCACACTCCTCAGCCTCCCTGGAAAGGTCTACTCCAAGGTACTGGAGAGGAGGGTCCGATCGATAGTTGAATCTCAGATAGAGGAGGAGCAATGTGGTTTTCGTCCTGGCCGTGGAACTGTGGACCAGCTCTATACCCTTGCAAGGGTGATGGAGGGGGCATGGGAGTTTGCCCAACCAATCCACATGTGCTTTGTGGATTTGGAGAAGGCTTATGACCGTGTCCCCAGGGGCACCCTGTGGGGGGCGC